TAGTTTTTCTTTGATTAATAGTGACTTCACTTATTGATCGTTATAAATCTTTTAATTTATTTTATTCTTTTCTTTATATTTTTATTCCTTTTGCAAATTACTTTTGTAATTTAGACCTTTGAAAATATAATATATGTAGATATTGATACAGGTCTTAGAAACCTTTGCTAATATTTATAATTTATTCTCTTTACTTAAGTTTAATTGCTCCTCTCTCAATATCATATGCTTATAGTAATTCTCAGTGAAATCCATTATTCAGAATTGCTATAACAATATATATTTTATAATTAATATTAATTTAAATAAATAATATTAATAAATTAATATATATTTTCAATATTAAAATTGTTTAATATATAAATATAAATATTAATAATAATTTGAAATAATACAAATAATATTATCACTTATTATATCTAATAATTAGAAGTTACTGGACTAAATTATATTAAATTTATAAAATTATTAAGTTTAGTAATTCAATAATACAGTATTAAATTAAGTTTAATATAATCTAGTTGATAATACTAAATATAAATACAATTAAAATAGTATAAATAAAATATAAATAATATAAAATAAAAGAAAATATGATTTATAATTTATATAAATTAATTATTCAATTAAAATAAATTATATAATATACTAAAATTCATATCACAACAATATTTAATACAAAAAAATAATAATTAAATAATATATATTTTATTACAAAAATTATATATTATATTTAATATAAAATAAATAAAGAATATATTTTATATATTTAATATAAAAAAATTAAATATATAAATTATTATATTAATTATTTTTAATTATAACTAGTTATAACTAATTATAATAATTTAATTAAAAATTATAATTAAGCTATTTTATTTTTTAAATTTTTATATTTAAATTTAGAATTAATAATTAAGTTTAGATATTTTTGTATAAATTAAATAATATTAATTTTATTATAATTAAACAAATATTAATTAAGATATTTTATTATAAAGAATTTTTAATTTTTATTTTAATATATTTAAATAATAATATTATATAATTTAGTAAATTAAATTATATAATTTTACACTTATTAAATTTATTAAAATTTAAGAATTCTAATAGTATTAAAATTATTAAAATTGATTAAAAAATAATTTAAATATATTAAAAATTGATTAAAATATAATTTATTAGTTATTTTTTAAAATTTAATTAATTATTAATTAACTTTATTTTAATATTACTTCTAATATTAGTATTATTATAAAATTTTTATTATTTAATACTTTATTTAATAAAGTAAATTCTAAATTTATATAATACTAAATATTATTTAGTTTAAATTATATTTAGAACAATTTAAATTTATAAATAAAACAAATTATAAATAAATATTATTAATTTAGAAATTTAATATTTATTTTTACTTTAATCTAATTTTTAAATAATAAATATAAATATAAATATAAAATAAATTATTTTATATTATATAAATTTTAATTAGTTAAAGTTGATAATATTATTAATAATATAATTATAATTAATTACAATTTTATATTATAATATAATCAAATAGTTGAGATATTTATCTTTAGTTTTATTTATATTTTATTTCTATATAATTTTACTTCAAAATATTATTAATTACAGTCAAATTTCTTTATAGTCATCATTCTCAGGAAAGCAAAATTTGATGACTATAGAGAGAATATGATTATAGAGGAATTTTTTTTACTATATTTATATGTAAATAGAAAAATAAAATAGAATGACTATAGAGAGGTGTGACTATAAATGGGTGTGATTATAGAGAGATTTGACTGTAGTTATTTATTTTATAATAAAAAAAATTATTGAATATAATTATTTTTTAAAAATAAACAAAAACTTATATAATTTCTTTTAAAAATTAAAATTATATACAAATTTTTTTAAGTAAATCTCTACTTGTAAAAATTTTTTGCAAATTAAATTTTATATAATTTCTTATTTTTATTCTTTTATATTAAATAATATTGCAAGTATTAGTTAAAATCTTTATATTAGAAAAGAATATTGATTTTATTAATAAATCAAATAAGAAATCTATTTGATTTTTTTAGATTTTTAATTAAAAATAGTAATGAATAATTAATATCGATATTATTATACAAGAATTTTCCAGAACAATTCTCTCAAACTACAAATAGCAAATAATATTTATAATATTAGTACAATCTTAAATACTAAGAAATTTCAATTAATTTACACGCTTTTTCCAAACTCAGACTCATATGGTGCATACCATCTAAAGTCATCAAACATTTGTATTTTATAAAATGGATAAACTTCTTTACTAAAAAGTAAATACAAAATTTAATCCGTAAATATGCTCAGAAAGGGTTTATTTTATCATATTTATGGATTAAATTTTGTATTTACTTTTTAGTAAAGAAGTTTATCCATTTTATAAAATACAAAAGTTTGATGACTTTAGATGGTATGCATCATATATATATTTCTTCAATATTATAGTAAAATCACACTTTCTCTTAAAGCATATTCCTGAAACGGGCACTATAAATTCATCTATAAGTTTTTTAAAATGTTTCACAACGTCCTCTGACTGTAATTCGAATAATCTCTAGCAAAAATCTAAAATTCATAAGAATTAGCAAATAGGAACAAATTTAATGAATTTAGGTAAAAATTAATCAAAAGTAATTAACAAACTTTCAGAGTTAAACATACTCTACTTAAATAACATTGTTTTTATTTAAAACTTGTGACATATCAATAAAATCCAGTAATAATAAGTTTATTTTTTTTTATTAAGCTAAAGCAAGCACGTAAAAATAACATTTAAATACATGTATTATTTCACAAGCAATTGACTCATTTCAATGATTAAAAAAGCTTGACCAATCCCTGAATTTCAAATATACGTATAGACTTGGAGAATTCCTTACACTTTTTTTTTTTGCTCAAAGGTCACACTAAATCAACCAATAGCCTCGTAATAAATTCTGCAGGAGTAGGACAAATTCTATATAGCTTGGATAATTATCTATTGAATAAAAATAAGAAAATCAACTTAGAATAAATTAAAATTGATTAGAAGACGAATTTTGAATATTAAAACTTAAGTTAATTATATAGATTTCAAAGTAGGAAACACAAAGGCATAATCAACGAAAATCGAATGCGTGATTTTGCAGGAGCAGGTTTTTAACTTATGAGCTAAAATACTTGAGCTCGTATGTAATCTAAAAAACATCCCAAAATAACCGGGCAATCGATGAAATTTTTGACAAGACAACAAAACTTTTTCTTTAAGCGGATATTTTCAAAAGATTTGTTACAAAGAAATCCTTTTGGGTTCATCAATTTGATTAGACTTTTGAAGTAGAGCTAATAAAACTCGAGACCGTAATTAATATTATCATTATATTTTTTCTACCTGTTTAAAGTTACGCCAAGAAATAAATGTTTTAATTACACTGCTTGCAAGTTATTAAAACAAACGCATTATTATTTAGAACAAGTCTTTGCGATTCGTGAGTTTCGAGATTAATAGTCGAATAGATTCTATTATTTTTAGCCGACAGTCAAAACAAAATTGTCGAACTAAGTATAAGCAACCAAGAAAATTAATAATTTAAAGAACGAATAAAATCACGTCCAGTATTTTTATAGATTGTAACCTAAAGAGGATTTCAAATTTTAAACGCACAAAATATATAATTATCGTTATGGTTTGTTTAACATCATCGTTCATCGTATGTGCACAAAAAAATTCCAAATGGATGTGAATGTTTGGGGGGGAAGGGTTGAGATGACAACTTAATTAAAAATCGATCACGAATCTTTTATTTCTTGAGAATATGTAATATAAAAATTAGTTTGTTAAACACGTAGTAGTTTTGAAGTGTATTGAACCAAATATTGAAATATAAATTATAATAACATCATGAGCACAAAAATAATGTATGAATACGACCACACTCAAATTAATTACATGTACATGTACAGTACTTAAAATTTACTGTACTGTTTCTACATTTCGAAAAAAATGCTAACGCTAATATTAACGTATTCAACAGTAATATTTTTTCATGTACCCCTACTTGACTTGTGTAGTTTTTCACACTATTCAGTGTTTTTTTAGGAAGATCTAGTTTATTTATTCATGCTGTGTTTGATGACAATGGTTTTAGGGTTTACAAAACGATGAATGCTATCTAAAGTTAATAACGAAAAAACCAAAGATTTATTATACAACACGTTAATAATTATTAGTTTACATTTATTATGGCTATGCGATTACTTGATACATATTTTACACTATGCTGGCGAAACTATTTTTCAAAGTCCGAAACGTCTCGCTGTAGATCAAATGGGTTACTAAAAGAGGGGTTGTTGATAAGGATTATTTCGACGACAAAATGTTTCACAGAAAAAGAAGTCACTGACAAATAGAGAGAAACCATGTCCTTAACGTTAAGTAAACATAAAGTCATAACATGTCGAGATAAGTCCTCCAAAAACATGAATTTTGGATTCTCAAACAAAAATGATTTTCTGAATCCATACTAATTTAGTATAAATGATCAAAAAACAAAAAAGGACCATAAATTATTCTTTTATTCTTACAATCCACGCGCGTTAACTGCTATTTTTAGTCGACATTATAAAATGCCAATTTTATTTTTATTAAGGTAAAAACATGCGAATACAATAAAATTAAGACGTAAAGACAAACCAGTTGTCAACACTCAATTATTCTAAAATCTATTAAAAAAAAACTACTAATAAATCATATTAAATCCATCATCGATATACGAACTACAGTGTGAATTAAATTGACTAAAGTCAACATGCGAATAAACGAATACGAAATAAAAAATTAATATAAAACAGAACAGAACATTCCAAAAGACGTAAGAGCAGATTAAACTTGATTAATTGTAATGCCAAAAAAAAATCAAAGAGAAAAAAATATTATTTGCGTTATATCTTGAAATAGTTTATTAATTAACCGAAGCTGATTGCACTCGAGGTGCATTCATTGATATGCAAGGGCACAATTGACGTAAATTTTTCTTTAAATTATGATTGCAACAATACATAGGACCATGTGGCGAGGTATTATTTGATAAAATTCTCGTAAACGCTGAGCGGTGACTTGAGAGTAATGCATTTCTTAATACATTGCTTATAGACGGAAGTTGAATGCTATTTGAAGCTAAAAATTCAATTGACATGGCATCTCGTTTATTTGCCATGTTCGCTTCAGGCTCTAATGAAGAGTGATGAATAGCGTGTTCATCCTCTTCAATATCTATGATTATTGATTTTCTTTGAGGTTTTTCGATTTTTCTCTTTTTTCTTAGACATTTCATACTTATGTCATTACCGGAACTATTTGCACGCGAATTTCCAGTAATTGCTTGAACATGTGGCATTCTTAATAGCCGATTGCGAAATTTGCTACTATTTGTAAATCCTTTTCTTTTGCGTAACGCAAAAGCAGAAGTTTTTCTTTGCGTTACTTTTTCCCCATTCGTTAATGTTGGAAGCCATAGAAGCGGTAATGGAGGTTCAATAAAAGCTGAGTTGGCTTCATCCTCAGATATCAGCGAATCAGTGACAGCGAAATTAATATGTCGAAATAGTAATCTTTTAGAGGTTGAGTTTTCATTAGATTCTTTTGGATCGGAAGACGCGTTTTTTGCCATTTGTAAATCATCAATTAAGGTCACAAGATTTTTATAAACTCGTCGAACAGCAGCAGTTTCACGGGACCGAATACGAACATATGTGTCTCCTGTCAGCATACTGCGCATGATTTCAAGAGGTTTTTCAGCGCTTGCCAGTTGATTACCGTAATTAAATATTATCCCGGTATCCGAGTCATTTAGCGAATTCGGATATTTCAAAGATGCGTTAGAGTGATGTTGAATTCGATCGATTTCACGAGTTATGATCTCGTTTATTTCTGAATTTTTGATGCTATCTTGTGAAAAGAATTTCAGTTGAACTCGATAAAGGATTCTTGCACATGTTAGAATAAGCGAAAAGTCATATCGTTCACTAGGAATTTGACTAATGTCAATCAATCCCTTAGTTTCACGCCTTGTTAATTTATATGATGACCTTGACATTATGTGAAAACGTATAAATATCGCTCAAATAAAATGGTGGACTTAATGATAGACTTTATAAGTTAAATTCGTTAAGGAATAAAGAAAATTTTCGATCTAAAGGACTATTTCTTCCAAGAACAGAGGGCATTCCTTGGTGAGGTGGATTTTTCAAGCAGTGCCCGAAAATCCCCTTATATATTTATTGAAAATGCTATTGCTGTGTCAGTTTTACATTATTAATAATATAAAGCCTTTAACGCATTCAGCAAAAGTGATTTATTTATAAATTTGTAAAAAAAAGCATTATTTTCTACCAAATATGATTTAATTATTAATAATATTGCATCTTCATTGGTAGAGTCATACATTTTTTTTTGGTCAAGTATTATTCGATATCTTTAATTTTTTTTAAAATTTATCATTGCATTCAATTAATCTTTTCAGATATTAGATACTATTTCACGGTGCAAAAAAGCTAAAATGGGATCTTTGCTAGCAAATCAGGTTTCAATCATATGATTTATACAGTCTCAGAGTGTCATTTTGCTGGCAAAAATCACAAATGCTTCATGTGAAGAAAGAGACAATAATGATTTTTTTAAAAAAATAATTGAGGTCTTGAGATACAAGTTATGCATAGGAAAGTCAGCCACTTAATGCAACATGATTTTTCGTGAAATGAGGCCTGACAATAAACGTGAATTCATAGACTTCAAATTCGAACAATTGGTGCATTGTTATTCAAGTTTAATAAGAACAAGAATAAACAATTATTTTAAGTTTATTAAAAATGTAGCCCCGAGAATGTTATTGTTTTAACAGATGACATCCCGAATATGAGGATACTTGAAGACAAAGAATTGTGGAAATAATAGCTGTTTCTGCCTATGCGCGGCGTTGCCCCGGTCCACATTACCCCGATTCACAATAAGAAATTACTTGCGCCTTTTGAACTCGTAAAATAGAATTGAACGCTGCTTTTGGATAATAGCTGAATCTACTTGTTTAATCTTGTTTAACAGGAATTTGCTGGTTGGAAATAATGAGCATTTGAAAAGAAGGATAGCATTCATCGTTAATTTTCACGAAAAAAGCTACTTTTAAATAATAAGATTGATATCAATTATCACAGTTAACTTTAAAGTCGCTAAGTTCAATGATTAAGACACAATTATAAGGATATTTTTGCATATATTTCCGATTGATTGATTATATAGAAACAAAAACATATAAATATTTTCATATATTGGCGCCATATGAAGCTTATTTACGCAAAGGAATTCGGGTTCTTAAGGAATCATTGATGTCCGAAAAAAGCGTACAATCATAGAATGAACATATACTTACCTGCTATGTAATATATTTATTTCAAAATAATTTGATAACGATAACGATAAAATTTTCGATAACATGACTACGTACGTATTGATACATATGCATATATCGATATTGATAGGCAGAAAACAACTACATGTACCAGGTTTTATTTGACTTGACTTTTGTATCGAAATATCATTTGTTTTTTTCTTGTTTTGGACAAGGTTATTCCGTGCAGCACGACTCGAAAACAATGGAATATATGCCAATGAAATCAAGGATTGAGCACCTGCATTGGTGTACGTACGTACATTTATTTACGTCTATTTTTGTGTAAAAGATAACCAAAAACATAGATTTTGCGTTTGTGAAAGATTTATTTGTTTCCTGTTTAACAATGATATCTCACTTTGAGCCTCACTTTACCTGAACTGAGTAATTTATTCCTGAAAAGCTAACAATAAGATAGGGTGGTATACTTGCATATAGTTTCGTTAAGCAGGCTAAATAATTTAGCATTTTCTCAAGAGAAATTTACATTCTAACAATAAAAGGAAAAATCCATCAACGTCTAACTAAAATTTGTTGAAAATAAAGAATCATACTCATTTCTATAGCATTGCATGAAAAGATGCGAGATTTTTAACTCAAAAAAGATATCCGTGCTTATAACATACAGTTGTCAGCCATATTCGTTGCTGCTATGCACAACTTATTACAATACATACAGAATTTGGGGATTACCTCAACATACAATATATATAACACTGTATTTATTGAATATTAAATTTTATGAGCATGAATAGTTGACAGTACTTTGTGTTTTGATCCGAGAGATTGTTGCCAGTCATTGATTTTTTCATTTTCATTATTTGATGAAAAATGTGATTTCATCTATTATAATATTTATTAATACAAATATCTATCCAACTATTTTTCATTAGTTATGTATTTTTATCCATTTTTAAGATAAAGTTGTATAATATTTCATTTGTCCGTATTTCAACGCGATTGTTGGAATTTCAAAAGAAATCAAGTCATTAGAACGATACATGGCATTCTAATAGAATCGCTGATGCGATGAATTTTTCGCGGGATCCTTCTAATAGAAACTTCCATTGAGAGATCTCGTATTATGTTTCGTGCAATAGAAGGTATATTTTCCTGTATTATTTATACTTAACGCTATGAATATTTAAGTGTTAGCGTTATATGAGGATTAACTAGTAAAATTTTTTCATTTAATGTCACTTGCCGATAGTTGTTAAAAGATACGTACATCACTAAACTTTATCAAGATTTTTGATTCGCTAATCCTATAGCAATAATAAAAACAATTTATCAATTAACAAAAATTCTTTACAAAATAACCGAAGCCATAATTTTTGTGCAAAATTATTAATCGCTCTAACGCTAAGATGATAATTCTCTAAACCGACCAATCTTATCGTTACAGTGCATAATGATTAGATAATTTTAGATTTACCTTTTGACACGAGCTCCATAATGACTGCCAAAACTTACAATCAATAAACCAAAAAGAATCCACCACAATTATAACTAGAGAAAGAATATAAAATGAAAAAAATAGATAAGTTACCATCCCGAGCAAATGATGGGAAAAGATTCAAGGAATTGATTAGTAGTAAAAAACGATTCTTTATATTTAAATTTTCTGTTTGTAAAGGTTACAACTCATTATTTATGGTCAGCAAACTTTATTATACTTGAGTTGTTACCATCACAAACACTGCGTAACCTTTATGAATATAGTCCATGGGTTGAAGAATTCCTTTTGTTCAGCAAATCTTCCTTCGTCTGAATGTGGAGGTTACTTTGGCACAACTGATTATGAAACACAGTAATATATAGAATGAAACCACATATTAATTGAATCCAATTCTGAGGAAAGACAAATTTATCTTATTAAATAATTTTCAACCAACGAACATTCATATCGATTCGCATTACGAACAAAAGAAGTATAGCTCGAGACGGTTCGAACATGCGACGTCAATTCCTGGAAATATAAAGGCAGCACTCGAAGTCGAACACGTGACATTTGTCACCCAGAAAAAACCACTGAGCCAGGGAACTTTTAGTAACTAAATGATTAAATTCATAATTTAAATTATAAAATCGAAAATATCAATAATCTTATCAGCATCATGAAGCCAATATTTAATTTTCTTCTACTCCACGATTAGTTTGCAGTTCATTCTTAAAAAAATCACGCTACCAGAGTTCTCTAATGCCGTTGACTATCCATACGAGATCTTTAAAGCAAGTGTTCCTCCATTACTAGCACCTAATAGTGATAGTTGGTAAAAAAAATTTCAAGTAAATCTACTATCGCTGTTATTTTCATGATGTGGTGATTGTGGATCTTTGATACACTTGCATAAGAAGTATAATTTTCTCGCTTGTTGTCTCTAAATTTTCAACAGTGCTTTTAAGCTCGAAAACCAAATTCCAAATTAATTTTTCTACAGAGCGAATCTGATTATTCAGGTCGCTTTGAATGAAACAGAAGATCAGGGCTTGCTGTCTGTACTTAATGTCGTTGAATTGACAGTCTTTCAAATAGAAAACAACCAAATATAGTCCAAATTCTTAATGATGGATTTAATGTAATAGATTTTGCGAATTTCTAATTTAGTACAAGAACCTGAAATGCTTGCACCAGTCACAAGTACGTTCGTGTTATTAATTTTATTGGATTCATTAATTGGGGCTGATTTTTTCCGAAACGAATTTTATTCGACATATGTGACTATTTGAATACCAGCCAATGAGTAAGTTCATAAAAAGAGTAGAATTCATTATTTTGTTTGATTTGATTTAATGTAATAAATTCGAAATTTTCTAATTATGATGGGTTCATTCTCTAATCTAAGAGAAATGCGTCGCATATGTTTGCATTGTTTGTCGTTTCATTTGTTATTTTCGCGGTATCGAATATTATTAACAATGCGCAACCTACAAGCTTGGTTCTGCTGCTGTACAAACATCAGAGCAGGAACTGTAAGTGATATTTATTTTAGAAAATTAAAAAATTCTTTGATAAAGAAAGAGAAGCAGCCTATGAATTTCTATCTTGGTTTTTCTCTCGCGAATTCATAGCTTGCTCGTAAATCCTCGTTATATAGGATCACTTATTGGCTTGTAATTAGATAGGATTGAAGTATAATATTGCGCATAAAGTTATCCAACTTTCAATTTTTGGAACAATTTAACTTCTGACTTTATTAACTTGGATAGAGGTTGATGTTTATGACTTCTTTGTGACTTTTTGAACAATCTTCTGGTTTCTTCTATTCTTTTTGTCTGAAACATTTCTTCGTCTTAAGTGACATAAAGCACATGAGTTTGGTTAAAGAAATTAGCCAATAAATCCAGTCGTAAAGAAATCTCATCATCGAACTTAAAAAAACAAAAACAAATCTTTTACAACGCGACTTTCAATAGTTTATTACAACCATTTTAATTTATATCACGTGATCACATGATTACATCTATATATAAGATCAGATCTCTTATTAACAAAAAATACTGACATGTAACTTATTCATCATAATTGCTGCGCCACCGACCAAATTTCAGTTATCTATCAATACAAAATCAGATATTGATGCTTACTGAAACTCAAAAGAGGAAGAAGAGGAAGGAAAAAAATTATTCAATATATGATGCGCCCAGTC